GCTTAAAGTATACGCCTCGTGTAATGATTACAAGAATACTATTAATTTTTCCAATTCCTAAAAAATATCAAGGTTTTTTTTGTATGGAATCCTAAGCAGGAGTTGTAACAATTCAATCTATTACTACTTTTACTACCTAGACTTTAAAAATATTGAAAGACAACAATTTATAGAATAAGTAAGTTCTATTGGTGATAATAGTAGTGATGTTATGATGTTTTTTTAGAATTTTTTTTGAGTGACAAGTAACAAGTGGATATTTTGATAATTTTATATAACTATTATGTTTGGTAATACTTGACCACACAAATTTAGGATTTGTTTAATTCTTTTAATTAAAATTGAGGCTTACGCCTCATACCGTCTTGAGGCTTACGCCTCGCCTTTTCAAGAGAAAAAGCCTCGAGGCCGCCTTTAGCCTTTTAAAACATTGGGTGAATCTCAATCCCAAGGTGTTTAATGAGTTCCATGAGAGAGGTATTATTGGGTCTTCCATGAACAAGACCTATATCTTCCTTATCGCAAGAAGTCCTATACTAGGAGTATAAAGGAATTTCAACTATGAGTCTTATCCCTAGCCTTTATAAGACAACAGCTAAAGTCATAGTGGATAGGTTAAGGAACATTTTTGGGTACTATATCAGAGAGTCGAGGTGCTTTTCTATTGGGTAGACAAAACATCGATGAAATCTTGATTTCAAATGAGAGCATAGAGGATTATAGGGCTAGGAAATTGGAGGGCATCATCTTCAGAATTGATTTTAAAAATACATATAATCGCATATACTATGGAACGTTAAAATCTGGAAAAGTAAGATAAGATTTTTCTCTGGGTTGATTACACATGGCAGGATTAACAACATTGAATATTCTCACATGTCCTCCTTAGTAGTTCTTGGTCCACGATGGTATGTATAATAAGAAATCCCTACCTTTGGAGTTTGGAGTTGTCCTTCGCTTAGAAGGTTTGGTGAAAGTTTGCATAGATTTTTTCTGTGCATCTAGTCCCAGCTCGAGATTACATAATATGATAGCGGAAGTTCTACTGAACCCTCCTTTTCAAAACAGAAGGACGCTCACGGATATTAAAAAAAAATAAAAATAAGGACGCTCTTTTGGTAAATGGGTCCTTTTTGTTATCATTTTTATTATGGCTAGAAAGGAACAAGAAGACTTTTATGTGATAAGGGATCACAGGAAGAGATTTGGGGTCTGGCTCACTCTTAAAACATCTCTTTCAACCATTTCGACTGAGTTATATTTTGATTTTTCCTTATTATTGAATCATAACAAGAGTCAGTGTGTAATTTTCATCTTATTTTTTGATGGCTCCTTCGTCTTCAGCTTGTGTGTGGTACAGCCCCTGTTTTGTGCTTTTATTTCATCTAATGAAAGTATGATTTCTATTAAGAAAAAATTGATCAATTCTCATTAAAGAAAAGGTTTATCAATCAAAAAGTGTACTAGGACCATTCGCACAAGAAAGCAATTAGTACCTCACAGCATACGTACACAGTGAAACATTTCACCCATCCACATCAGTGCTTAGAATAAGAAGCTGAAGCCATTTTTTGAACATATTTGTAATAAAGATCAATTAAATAAAAGGAGGGAATATCAACCAATCAATTCCAATGATTCCCGGAAGCAACATACACTTGTGAAAATATTCAGGAATCCAAAAAATTCAAGAAGCTTTTATCATCAAAAAACATCTAACTATCACATTGAGAGGAGGGGGTAAGCGTAAGCTTAGTTAGACGTACCCCCAGGGACCCCTTGCCCAATTAACCGGGCTTTTCGACCTGTCTGCTCCAAAGCTTCGGTCATTGTCTTCACAGGTGTTGTGCCCAGTATCCTAACCACTTGATTGCTCAAGTCCACATCAACATTCTTTACACCTGAAACAACATAAAAGAAATGCACCTAATGTGTAGAAGTGCTCCAAAAGTTTTTTTTTTAGTACAAAAATAAAATTACTCCAAAATTATTAGAAAGTGTTTGATGAGAAATCATTTTGAGACTCAGTTCTACGAAGTGTTTATCAACTGCTTCTAATTCAACTACTCGGATCAAAAGCACTGTACAAGTGCATTAGTAGTCCAAAACACTTCTTATTTCTTCCAAACAAAAAAAATTTGAATGGAAAGTGCTTTTGGGCATAACAAATGTGCTTTAGTAGTCCAAAACACTTCTGATTACTTAAAAATATAAAAATTTTGAATGAAATGTGCTTTTGGCCATAACAAAAGTTCTTCAACCTTGTCAAAATCTTAATAAGAAGTAAGAAACCAACCAAAAGTTGGAACAACTAACAACGGAAACTTGAACATTAAATTAAATAACAAAATCTTCCTCTGAGACACTTACCATCAACACCCTGTAACTTGTCCTTGACAGCATTAACGCAGCCCTCACATTTCATATCCACCATATACTCTGTCTGTCACCCCAACAAAACCAGATGGTTAAAGTTTATTGTTCTAAACGACAAACTAAGCAGCTTACTTTAGTAAATTCCCAACGTAGACCCGGATTCTCATATTAAAATAATATCTAAAACACCCCTTAAGCATTTTAACCAGTAGAGTTCCTTTCAGAAAATGAAAGATACAAGATAATACATACACCCACAAAAGGAATATAAAAAAAACATAAACTGTGGAGACAACACAGAGAAAAAATTGTTAAAGAATCAGGAGAAATTTGAAGAACTAGACTCACCAGAAGTTCAGGCAATCCAACGTTGTTCTGCATCAATCAACAACCAATTGAGGGGCATTAGAAATGAGACATGATTGATAACAGAAATTGGAGATGGGTTTAAGAAATGAAAGGGAACCTGAGAGAAAGAGGTTGGTTCCGAAGTGGGTGCCGCCATGGGAACAGCAGAAGGTGAATGGGCAAAGGTTGTGATAAATCCGAAGGAATTTCTAGCTGGAAATGGAGAGAGGGAAATGGGTTTGAAGGATTGAGGAAAAGGAAAAAGGGGAGAAGAAGAAGAAGAAGGTCCGGAGAAGGCGAAAGCTGCAGATGCTGCTATGGCGAAGCTAGTTGTTGATGCCGTGGACCTGAGAAATGCGGCCATTAAGAGCGAATTTCTTTGTTACTGATTCCTCCCTTTCCACTTTTGTCAACAAAATCAAATTTAGGCTTAAAAAAATAAAAAGAAAGAGAGGAAAATGAGATTTTTTTTATTTTTTTGAGAATTCAATACAGGGATGCTTGAGATTTTTTTATAGCTTAGATCTAGAGAAAGTAAAATTTGATTTTTTTTTCCCCTCGTGCTTTGATATTTATATCAATTTGGTTTTTTAGTTTTTTAAGTTGAATTGTTATCCACCTTCATGGCTTAGGTTGGGTCGGGTCGAATTAGGTAGATTTTGGAACCAACCCAAATTTTCGGGTTGGCCATATATAGGAATCGTCAATCCAATATCTTCAAGTTGGGTCTGGTTTGATTGTCGGATTGTGTTTTATTTTTAATTTTTAATTATCACGGTGGCGACGAAGAATTAAGATTAAAACTAAATGGATGGCTGAGGTTAACCCCAATCTTTTCTATTTGAAAGAAGGTGATAAACAGGAATGGTAGCAATGGCTCAGCGTAATAAGCAAAAACCGACGCACTGTAGTTTTACTTTTTTGCCGTGATGATGACATATTTTTTTTTACTCGAAAAAAAACCTCTTCCTATTCTATTAATCAATCAAGCTTATGAAGCACGATTCATAAGACCTCGATCCATTTCGCTTATGTGAAAATTCGCCGAATACGGAGAGCAACTAAAAGAGGGTACCTTAGACACATATTTGAGACAAATCGAGATTCGCCAAGATAAAAATGGAAAAAGATAATATGAAAACCTTAAATGAAATCCTATGATTGAAACTAAATGAAGGGTTGAAATAGAAGATATTATTATTATATATAATTAAAAAAAGTACAAAAATTTAGTTGAGTTAGGTTGGTCCGATTTTTTAAAGGTTGAACTCGAGACTCAACCCAACACAATCTGATGTTTTATCTACCCATGAACACCCTTAATTTCTATCATACCATTAATCCTAATTTAAAATGCATTGAAAATAAAATATAGGTTCGACTTTAATTATTCTCTTTTAAATTTAACAATAAATAAATTATACTATTTATTTTAATTTTAATAAATAATAGGGATTAAAATTATTAAGAAAACACGATTGTTTGCACTAAGTTAATATGATAGTTGTAATTTAATGAAACCTTTTATCTTTCCAATCAAGACAGATCAAATAATCTCTCTTTTTTTCTGCCTTAACCGTTCAACTATACCAAAATTTTCAGAAATTTCCCCCCTTCAAAGATAAGATTCCAAACCAATTTTTTTTTTTATAGAAAACAGTATGAAATTAAAAAATAAAGAAAAATATTATTTTGCTATTAATTTTAAGTTAAGCAAAACACAATAACAATAGCAGAAACATTTTGTATGCTTAGATATCTTGTCAAAAGTTAACCAGTGGCTTTCTGCCAAACTTAATTATCAGAAATATGAAACAACAAACAAAACCGTGTTCTGTATACTACATTCTCAACAAAGGGTTTTTCACAATTCATTCCACATGGAACTGAAACTTTTACATTGGTAAGCATCCATTACGAACCATGGCAGACAAAATGATCCAGCGATTAGTCCCGTTATTTTCGTCACAGCACGAGATTAAGCCGAATACTTGCTGCAAGATTCTCAGAAGCTGGTGACTGCACAATCAATAGAAAGAAAATCAAAGTAAAAATGTAGTTCCTCAGCCAAAACCAGGGGGCACATCTGGGTCCTCATCACTACCAGCATCTTTACACATTCGGTTGTGGTCCTTGTTTGAAGAAAAGCCTGGTGGCAGATCAACAACATCTGCATCACACACATTATTCTGATGGTGTCCCTCTACATTTCGACTATTATAATCATGCCTTCCTTCATGACGTTCTGGAAATCGCGTCTCCTCTACGTGTTGCTTCTCATTGTTTGCATGATTACCAGCAAAGGAGAAACCTGGAGGTTCTACAGGATCAGGCTCAGAAAGTTCAAATGCACTGGTGGAGGCCTTCATAAAACCATTGTTAACAGCTTCCTTACAAACTGATCTCGTGTGGTCGGTGGATGCTCCAGCGTCTTCGTTCATTTTTGGGTTTGCTAACTTATTGTAGACGGATTGTACGGTTTCTGTAATTTCATTTTTCATGCCATCGGCTGATCTGATTATCTCCCATAAGTTATCAGAAACCTTGCTCATTATTTCATCCCTAAAGACAATGCAAATACATTATTACATTCTTCTTATCTATCTCTCAATATGAACTTTTAACTTTCTTCCAGAATGAAATTTCAGTATAGACAATAGGAAAAAGAGAAACAAAACAACTACACTAGTAAATATACAAGATAATTTAGCTGTTTCATGACCATTTTTTCTATGGTTTTCTCTTTTGAAACTTAAGCTCATAAACACTACTTCCACCTATGTGTTTCTATGTTTTGTGGCCTACTTTTTACAAATATTTTCAAAGTCTATACCAAATTTTAAAAACTACAAAAATTAGTTTGAATTCAAATGTATTTCTAAGAAAGGTGAAAATACATCAAAGACATTGTAAGAAAACCATCATAATTTTAAAAAATAAAATGGTTATAAAACAGAGCCTTGACTACTTTCCAACCTTCCTTCACAAGTTGTCTGCCAATGTTTATCTAACCACTTCAAGACCAGACCAAACCAGAGTCATCAGACTACTAACTGGGACCTAAATTTTTATAAAAACAAATTTAAACAAAGGGGTCCAAGAAATCTGGTCTTAAAATAGATAAATCGAGTAAAGAGCAATGATGGGTTTTACAGAATTTGACAATGGAACTTTTTAATGTGAAATACTTGGTCTAGATGAGAATAAACGTTTGCATCCGATATCGAGAAGGGTCAATCCATACTATCCTATCCAAATTTAGCTGTGACAGCACAAAAGAAGCAGTCATCATCTCATCTGCACGACCTTACTTTAGCTAGAAGAATCAATAAAATACTGTATGATGTCTATATAACTAATATCTAAGAAGAAAATTAAGAACATGAGGCGACAAAAAATTGGTCTTACCCAACCTCGTCATATATTGCATCAGAAAGCTGTCGGGGTTTCACATTTTCAGTTCCTGCACGATTAAGAGCTGCTGACTGCTTCACTATAGCAATAATGTTACTGCGCAATTCTTCCTGCAGTTAAAGGACTTTTTTATATGAGAATCCAAAATCCAACGTTTTTAGAACTTCAATCAATACTAACCACTAAGTGGATTTCCCTATTTTATCTCCCTTGAGACCCCAAACAAATATGCTCTGTTTGGAATTAGAAAGAAAGAGAATTAATAGCTCAAATATTGATAACTTCCTTTTTCTGCACAACTCCATTCTCGCCCATATGGATTCGGTACAATTAATCATATTTATTAGAATAGAATTAAAAGAATTAACAAAACAACTGTTAAGCAGTAACTGAATGAATAGAGAAAAAACTATACAACAAAAACCTAGGAAATAGAGGAAATCAGGCTAGAAAGGAAATAGGAAAATGGACATACATTGTCTTTCAGCTTGCGGATGATCTTGAGACGGAGATTATCGAAGTCACCATCATCCTTGAGCTTTTCGATAACATCTTCTCCACTGATATTGGGCCTGACCTCCATTTACTATGACCAATGTTTTTGTTAGGATCCCAAATAAGAACTCTCTCAAATTCTTGGCTAAAATACTATTCCAAAAGATCCCTTCCTTTCTCCCCCACCCGTCCTATTTCTAACAAACTCATCTCTATCTAACTACTCTAATAACTCTAATAGGATGCTCACATTACCCTGCCCTTCAAAGACATCTTGTCCTCAAGATGTGCGTACAAAAAACGAATTTAACCGTCTTTTTTTTTATTTAACACCTAAAAAATTGAAAACCTAGCATATCTCAAACCCTAGATTTTGACTACTGCGGACGGTGTGTGCGGCAGACGGCGGATTGTGCGAAGAAAGGTGGTGTTGGCCGACGGCAGATGGTGGTGGCCGGCGGCAGGCGGCGGCGACGCACAGGCGGCGGACGATGATATTTTGTTGTCGGCGGCGTGCGGTGGGCGGCGGCCGACGGGCGCATCAACGGGACGATGGTAGTCTGTTGGAGGTTCTGCTGAAAAAGTGAAGGGACAGCTAGGGTTACTTAAAGCCCATATTTTATTTTTCTCTTTGAGAAGTTATCAGCCAATTTATCTCATTTCAATCCATTTCGTGCGATAATATCTTAAATGATATATTTTGAAAACTTATTTTTACAAATATCGAATGTTTACAAATTTTAAAGTCTTTGAATTTCTTGATTTAGAACTCTTTCCAAATGTCAAATAACATTTATATTTATTATAATTAATCTTTTATTAATATTCCAAATTTGATTCTGTAAATATTAAATTAATGTGCGACCTAAATCAATCATTCTCATAATCTCATACTACTTAATATATTCTACTTCTACTGAAGAATGAAATTTATTACAAAATATTCAATTATGGTCCTAATCTCAAAATTTACTCCTTAATATATTCTACTAAATAATGAAATTTATTACAAAACATTTTTTCATTTCATTACAATTTTTTTTGGCTACATTTCAATAATATAGTCATTATAACATACATTTATTTATTTATATGTGTATATATATATATACACACACGGAGATATAAACTATAGCTATATATATGGAGATATAAACTATATCCAGCTACCTTTTCATTTAATTAGAAATATAAACTATATCTGACTACTTTTTCATTTATATGGAAATATAAACTAAAGAAACATACATTTAATAATGGTGATATAAACTGTAGCGATTATAACATACACTTATATGAAGATATAACATATATCTGACTATAAAGTATATACGATTATATCCCCTACAATTAACAAACAAAACAAATAACCTACAAACCTTCTGGTCGGCGACTAGAAAATGGTCGGGATAAATGGGGGCTCGAATGGTCGACGGGCGGCCGGTGACAAAAAAGAAACCTCGGGATAAACGGATAGAAATAATGGGCAGATAGCTGGAAACAAAGGATAAGCTAGACGGACTGTCCGACGACGAAGAAGAATGGAGACGACGACCGGAGACGAAGGAACGCAGACGGCGGCCGAAAACGAAGGAATGGACAGAAACAGAACGACAGAGGAAGAAGTAAAGTCGGAAGAAGGATGTTTTCGAATTTTTTCAATTTTTACTTTTGGAAAGTCTAATTAAGCAAAATTTAAGTGATTTAAAATGTAACCTCACAAGTAACCAATTTTGGATTTTAAAAATTAATTAATATTGAGGTGAGATACAAAATGATATATTAGTAAATTGGGTGATGGGTACCATCTTAATTAGGGTTATTTCATTACAAAAGTGTAAATCTTATTCAATCATTTTATGTAATTATAGTCTCTAAATAGTCTATCAATGTACTAATCTGATCCCTTCCCCTTATCTACTTTCCGCCCATTTACCTTAGCCCCTTTGACTCCAAAGATATTAGGGTAAGAAATCCTGGCAGATTTCCCCTTCTCCTTTGCCGTTTTGAGACGTAGGCACCGCCGTTGTTGTTCCTGCAACTCCGACCACTCCCTCTAGCCACTCCAACAATCGCTGGCGAAGTCTTCCATCCATCCCGTTTTTCTTTTCTCTTTCATTTTCGCCATTCTTTTCCACTTTTCCCGAGCTTCACGGGTATTCAATCCCCTTCCCCTTTGGTTTTTCGTTTCTTGCCACATAACCACTCATGGTCAACCTCTTCCGACATCCAACCTTCGTTGCAAGTTGTATCTCTCATGTTTCCCTGTGTCCAATCTTCGAATTTCATCGTTGATCTCTTTCAAATCGCATACGAGCCTTCCTTCCCGATATTTGTTCTCTCTTCTTTTTTCGTCTCTTCTTCATCAAAAAACTCCTGTGCAAATAAGATTCAGCAATCCTCGGACTCGTGCTCGTCCTTCTTGGATATTCGATTTCTTCTTCATACTTTTTTCTGCAATTTCGTTGTCGTTGCATTCTTTCTCTCCTCCTTAGTTTCTTCATATTCTGTTGAAGGTAGTTGTTCTCCTCCATTCTCGAGGAATCCCTACATGAAGACATTTCTTCTCGTCGGTTAATTTTCCATCGAACTTCAGTCCACATTCTTGGGTACGATCGTCGCCTTCAAGAAACTCGTCGCCCCTGCTTTCGATATTCTAGCTTGATTGTTTTTCGTATATTTCACACCTCTTCTTCTATTCTTTGTAGTCCAGCTTCTATTTTCTGTTATTTGTTTCATAAAATCACTTTCTCCGACCAAACATCTCTGAATGTTCAACATGAACTCCAACACATGATCATGATCCTTCCGCATGAACTCCAACACACGATCACGATCTATGACCAGGATGAACTTGCTCTGATACCAATTTGTTAGGATCACAAATACAAGAACCTAACTAGAACACTATATTGCAATTCCAAAGAGTAAATACAATATCGATAGTCTTTCGAGAGGACTATCTCTCTCCCAAGATCTCTCCCAAGAACTCTCTCAAGTCCTTCGCTAAAATACTATTCCCAAATATACCTTCCTTTCTCCCCTACTGGTCCAATTTATAACAAACTCATCTCTATCTAATTACTCTAATACCCCTAACTATAATACTAGGATCCTCAGTGTCTTCCTTTCCAGCTTCAAAGTAGTTTCATTCTGTTATCATTAACGTTTACTATACAAAAATATCATAATACAAATAGATTAAACTAGAGGAGAAATTTCATGTCCCCTTGTACTTGGCTTAATGAATCAATTTTAACCTTAACAAGCTTGGTATTTTAATAAAAATAGATTTAAAATCTCACATCAGAGCTCTGAAAAAGTAGGAGAGATAGAAGCATTAAAGCAGGCTTTTTTAAACTGAAAGAACTAAGATTAGACGTGGTGCAGAAGCTAAGAGTAAGAGGGCACTAAGACGAATTTTGAGATGTGACTCGTCCAATAATAGCTAAAAAATCAGGAGGCAGCACGACAATTGCAGACATACAAATTGAGGAAAGTGTAAAGTATTGAGCTTTGCAGTGAAACACATATATCACCCACGTATTTTGTTGCTTTTTATTTATTTATTCCTTTCAAGAACATGCATCCTTCAGTTGCTTGGCTAGTTAGCATTAACCAATGAAACTTGTACTTACTATAACGGTTCACTAATTGTTGTTATTATTTTTAAATGTAAGACAATGGGTTCTTATCAGCCTCCAAGGGACAGTCTAGTTGGCAAAAGCTTGAAGTCTCTTGATCATATTGATTTATAGGTCTCAAATTCGGACTTTTTAGTGAGCTCAATACCAAAAATCCTAGATGTTTTCTTGGTCCAGGCCTTGGGGTGGGCGTGGGTGCCCCTAGGTACAGGGGAGTACAACTTCGACTCCCAATTATAAAAAAAAAAAAAGACTATGGGTTCTTATCAAAAGAAAGGTAAGACTATGGTAGCTCAAATATTGGGAAAATTGCTCCAAATGGTTGGCGTCCTACCTATAGATAGAGTTAAAAATTTTAATAGATATGGATCCCAGAAAAACTTGTGTTGAGGTTATGACTACGGAAGAACCGAGAAAAATTTTGGTTGGTGAATTTGTTGGTTATTTGGATAATTGCTTTATGTATGGATGTCATAACTTTGCCTTGCACGTCAAAGGAACAGAGGGTGGAATTTTTTTTTTTTTATCAAGCCTATCAACGGATACTAATGCGGAAAGCATACGTAAGGATTACAATTTGGAAGTACTGAAAGAAGGGATCATGTCTGTCATTGACAGTGGTGAAATTGTAGTCATATATGCTGGTTACTGCAAACGAATGAAGCGCATAATAGCTTCAAGTGAAGGATTTGGTCGATGGTAACTAAATGTTCAGTTTTAATAACTTCTGCTCATTATAACCAGGAAAGATTCTCATTCTCCAAATCAAGATGGATAAACTAACAGAGGACAACTCATTATATGGTTCTAAGCTGCATTCTACTTGCACTACTGAAGCCACTGCAAACCTGATAGAGAGAGAAACTAAAGAAAAGCAGCATAAGGATTTGAATGGTGGTTTAAGTTCAATTCAATTGATCCAATGCTTTGTTTGTTAACACAGAAAGGTTGGTATTGCAAAAATTCTATTTCAAATGCTCCTTACGCATTCTAATTAAAAATATACAATCAAATATAAGGCATGTTCATCAATCAAAATGAAGCTTGTTTACTATCTTCTAGCTTTCAGATTTTCCCCTTTCAGAAACTAATTGAAGCATCATCAAGGTGAAATTTGGAGTTTACGGACTGCACTGGAACTATTCAAAGCAATGCATCGATGAGAGTTGAATTATTCACCACAAGCGCACATTATTAAGCAACTTAAAACAGGATCTAATTCAACGCTGAGCATTTGGGTGAACGAGAAAAAAGCAGAATTCTGTCATTACATTATGAGATTCAGCAGAAGAAAAGAAAACGATTACCAAAACAAATTCAAATAACCAGAAGCATGTACCTGTCGAACCAAGAATCAAATCATTGTCATCCTGTAAAACCCAATAATCAAGGCATTACAAACCTGCCAAACCAGAGAAGAAAAACCAATGATCTGAATTTCTCTACTTGCTAGACCGAGAATCTAGCGAGAGAAAAAGAGGGTGAAAAACCCTTAGCAAGTGAAAGGGGAAACAAATTCATGAAAATCCAGACCTATAACGAAATTATCCTTTTTTTTTTTATCAAACTAGTGAATTGTTTTTTTTTTTTCTGAAAACTAAAATGAATTAGTGAATTGCTATTTCATAGGTTTATTTCTGAAAACTTTGTGAAATTTTTAAAACAACATTTACATGTTTCAGTGTTTTTGCTGCGAAATTGCAAACATCAAATTACACTTAATAACAGTTTTCATAATTCAAATTCAAATATAATATAAATTACGATGAATTTATAATTTATAATTTATATTATATTTTAATTATTTTAATTTGTTAAAGTCTGATATTTAATTATTTGATTCCGACAATAATAATTAATAAAAAAAAAAGTAAAGTGAGTTAAGAAAGAAGGTAGCATACTCTATTCATAAATTTCTACCCTCGTGTAGTCCTTTCTTTGTATTATATCGTTCAACAGGATTTAATAATGTTAATTAATAATTTTTTTTTAAATAATGTTGCTTTAGAAAAAAACGGAAATATTGCAACTTCTCAAACTTATTCCAGAAATAATGCTGGAATAAGTTTGGGGGCTTGGTCGCGACCAAGCCATATAGTCATATAGTCGTCTCTAATTTTTTTTTTAAGTCATATACGGTCGTCAAGAGACGACCATGTTAGCACGTGGGATGGTCGTCTTTTGAAGAGACAACCAAGTTACCGCGAAGGATGGTGGTCTCTGACCATCCCTTAAAAAAACCCTACCCACTCTTTCTTTTACCCCACTTTTGCCCCTCT